TTGTGTAGTCCGGTGCCTTGGCATGGAGTGCAATGCACCGGCGAGTTCAGACAAGCCCGCCACTTGGCAACAGCCGTGCGCAGGGGCCTGCCATCTCTGCATAGTGAGTGCCAAGCACATGACTTGGTGCGACCGGCAAACAGACACGGAAAATCTCCATATGCACCCTCTGGCATCACCCGAAGCCCCATGGATCTCCAGCCCATGGTCCCAAATTGGTGAGGGGTTTATACCAAATTCCACGCCCGAAAGCAAGGACTCTGCCTTGGACTCCAGCTGCCCGAAGCTGTCTTTCCTGCTATGCTTAGCCTTTGGAAGAACCGGTTATGGTTTGGGCTCCGGGGCACAGGGTTGGAACCCCAATGCGTGTAATCCATCAATATGACTCTCAGCAGTCGAGAAACAAGTGCACGAATCAATCAAGAAGGTAGGCCTAGCCAAAAGCCCCAAAGCCATGAAACGCAGCCATCCTTCGCTCGGGGAGCCGGAGAGAGATTCCTGCTGGTCCCTCTTTGATGATGAAGAAACCCAGGAGGAAGCTGAAGGTGTGGGCGGCGTCTGCGCATCGGAACATCCCTACTTCAAAGGCCGAACCTTCCCAAAGGAGTCATTGGAAGAGGCCTTGGAGGAGTACATCCCGACAGCTTGTGACTTCCTGACCATGGCTGGGATGCAGGGCCGGTCGACGGCATCCTCCCTGCACAAGGCCGCCGGCCGATTCCGTGCCAAGGACCGCGAGGGCTGTGCCGCAGCTGCGCGCGTGGCTGCTGGCGGCGCTTGGCAGCTCTTGCAGGAGACGGCCCCGTCAGAGGCCATCCTCCACACGCACGCGCTCTCTCATGCAATGCTGGCCGCCTCCCTTGCCGATCCATGGGAGGCGATGCGACATGCAGATCTGGCTTTACTTTTGTGCCCAGACCTGCCGATTGGGGCGCTACATGGGTTGGCACAGGAGTGCAACCTGCGCTGCCAAGCCCAAGCCCAGACTCCCTGCGCCGAAGAACGGGCCTGGCATATCCCAGCGGAGCTGGACCTTCGCAGCCCGAAAGTTCCACAGATCCTGCAGCCCATCGAACGTGTGGGATGCCATGGGCTCTCGGTGACATCCTTCCGGGAGTGCCTGTGGCTCCGGTTTCAGCTTACACTACTTATATTCGGTTTCTTTTCCTTTGCCTTCTTTGTTGCACTTTCGTGTGGCTTCCTTTTGAGCAGACGCAATAACCCTACATCGGCGCGGGGAAACTTGTGGATGGTAGGCCAGTCCTTGGTTCTATCGGGCAGCAGAGCAACTGATTGCAGGCGCATGCTGAAGCGGGCGTGTCCTGCAGTGGTGGAGGGGCACCTGTCGCAGGCGCACTGGAATGCGCAGGGCTGGTCAGACCTGAGGCTTCTAAGCTGATCTGCCAAGAGTAGGGTGGCTGTTGCCGAGGATGTCACTATGAGAGTTGTACTGAGGTTCTGGGCTGTGCAGCACGGGCATCGCACCATACCGATCGAAATGGGCTCTTCAGAGGATGACGCAACCAGCATGGCGCTGCAGCAATCGAACGTCTCAGAAGGAGTGAGGTTGTAGCTGCAGAGATGCTTCATCTCTGGAGCTTAAGCCTGGTGCCGTTCATGACTGTGGCTGGCTCTTCTTGTTGTCCTGCGCAGGAAGCCTCCTGGTCTCTGTGTTTGTGGACAAGTATCTCTTGCCTTCCAACGAGTCCTGACAACGCCTGCCGGAAGAGTGGCCCAGCGAGGGCATCGACGAGTGGTCCGTGTCGCAGGTGCTCGGCAGACATCGGGAGCAGAAGAGAGCCAAGAAAGCAGTAATGTAGGGGGGCTCCTTATGATAATTATAGTATAATGGGCCCCAAAACCCAATTTTAATTATTAGGGGGTTCCTTATGATACTTATAGTATAATGGGCCCCAAAAACCCAATGGATGGATGGATGGATAGCGGACAGTCGTGCAGCGTGGCGCTGCGCGTCCCAAAACTGGTGAATTCAAGGTGAGACAACTGGCCTTTGGTGCCAAAACTTCTTTGAAGTGACACGGGGTCCTTCCCTGGATCTACCGCTGACATGTGCAGCTATCCAGTCCTGAGTCTCGACCGTGGGCCTGTACCGCCCAAGGTCAGAGATTCTGACCTCCTCTTCAAAGAACTCTAGCCCCTGGAACCGCTCGTCTGCCGTTGGTAGGCGCGGTCCGAACATCATGGTATGTTGTGAAACCCCCTGGTAAGCCTTCCAATCCCCCTTGCGGAGCTGACTCGCCCTGCGAACCTCCGGCCCTTCGACTTGCCGGATGTCGGTGATGCTCATGGGCGGCAGGAGCTCGGAAGCCCGAGAGAGGCATGCATCGCTGTGCTTGAGGTGTTGTTGCACCTGCCTGACGGTGCCATACCATCGATGGCAAGAAATGCAGTACACATCGTACGCGAAGTGCCTGGAGGGTGAGAGGATGGCATGCGAGCGGGCTAAGTGAACGCCTAGGTGACCTAGGTGTTTGCGAAGCCTGAACGCTGAGGGGCAAACTGGGCACCTGAAAGGGGCCTCCATCGCTGCGGTAGTTGCCGGCTCGGCGGGCCCCGCGGACGCAGCCATATCGGCATGGGAAGCAGCAGCGGGGCGGGCCGCCCACTTCTCCAAGTCCCGTAAAAAGGCACGCTCTGCCCGTTTGACCTGATTTGGCCACCAGCGAGGTGTCGTCTGGTAAGCTTCGAGCAGTGACAAGACAGGCGACGACAAGTCCAAAAGCTGGCCCACTTCCGGAAGGTGCATCACAACGATCCGAACATCATCCTCCAGCTGTCGTAACCAGGACCCAGCCGGATGCACCGTCCAGTGGTCAAAGAGGAAGGTACGTAGGACCTCCGGCCCATGCAGGGTGAGTCGAAGGAGGAAACCAGCTCTGGACCTGGCTAGGGCAAGTGGTGGTGATGCCGCTTGTGCGGCCCGTAGCACATCATAGCTGTGGGCCGTTTTGTGTTCTGCCTCGCGCGGAAGCAAGGCCCGCCATATCCGCACATAGGCTTGATCCCAGGCACGCTGGTGTATCGCCGCAGTCAGCAACAACGCAGCTCCTGAGTGGACAAAACGGGAAATTGCCAGGGAGCGCAAGAGCAGTCGTCTAGTGGTGAGCGGAATCTGGCGATTACCAAAGAGTCTTTTGCCCAATGACTTGGTGACCCCAACTGCTCGCGACGCCCGGTGTGCAAGATCTGGCCGCGGGTCGCCAGAACACGTGAGGATGGTACCCAAGTGCTTATAGGCCGCAACGACAGGGAGCGCGTGGACCTCCTGACTAAGGTCGTCTCGTATGTGAACGCACAAAGTCCCCGTCGTTGTCTCAACTATAGGGGACCATGTGTGCGCCATTCAATGCCAGCGGGAAGTAAGACTGCAGTCTTATCTGGGGCATAATTAAGCCGCATACCCACAGCAGTGGCTCGCTCCTGGATGACACTGGTAGTGGCGCTGACCCTTTGGAGAAGTTCCGCCGGGTCTCGGGCGTTCTGCAGATGTGTAAAATCATCCGCCCAGGCTGGCATCCCAAGCGTCCCAGCGGCTGAGGCTTCCGCCCATTGGGGGCGAGGGTCCTTCCCAATCGGCTCTGCGAGGAGACTTCGATCCCTGAGCGCCTGCTCCGTCGTCCGTAAGAAGGCTGTGAAAGACAGCGAGAACAAGACGTCCGCAGCTGGATCGCCCGGCCGAGTGCCACGCTCTGTGCAAGTGAGGAGGTCGCCTAGATCCATACGGAACCATGTGGCATGTAGCAAATCGCCTACCATGGTGGTCAGATGTGGAGACGCCCCCATCTGCGGCAGTGCTGCAATGCGCTCCAACTGCTCCGACAATTCGAGGAGAGCTTTGTGAGGTAGGCCCGCCTTATGCAACAGCTCGCGCAGTTCATAGTCGGAGCGGTGTGATGGAACTAGCATTTCTCGAACAACTCGGTAATATGCAGCCTGCAGGTCAAAAAACGTGATTGACCACATTTGGCGACATTGCTGATGCACAGCCTGGAATGACCTTGCCAACAGTGAGACCGTCTCAAGTCCTACCCCAGGTCTCGCACCCGCTTGCGTGGGGTGACCCTGTGCCGCCAGAACAGGCAGAAGCTTGCCACGTAGCAGCCTATGTTGTACCTTAGCTGGCACAGCAGCGAGCAGTATAGACCTAAAATCTTGTCGGCGGAGAGCAGCTCCTGCTCGTTTCGCCAAGCATATCAAGTTACCGCCCCTGAATTCCACCGGCTCTTGGAGCATGAGTGCCGATTTCAACAGGATGGGCAGGAGTTGTCTGGATGCTGCACCTGGAGAGGCGCGGAGTAAATCCGCAGTTATTCCGTCCGGGCCGGCAGCCTTGTGACGGTGCAATCCAAGAATGACCTGCTCGGTATCCCGGAGGCTAGGTAGCACATTGACATCGAACACGAAAGAGTCCCTTGGAGGGCGGGACCGAAAACGGGCAAGGTATTCCAGGAGGAGACCGCCTCTCCTAGCTCCTAAAAGGCAAAATGGCTCCGCCAAAGCTCAAGCCTGTCCGCTGGAGTCTGGGCAAAGCGACCTTCGCTGTCACAGACGGCAGGGAGCGGCACCAGGTTGCTCCTTCGTGCTGACTTCGCAGCTGGAAATGCCTTCCGAACTGCCTGGTAGAGTGCACGGGAATCTTTGATGTCGCTCAACTGCACTCGCTCAGTCAGTGAGTGCAAGTATGCACGCCTATCTGCTGCGACCTGCTTGCGGGCCGCTTTCGCAAAGTGCCTCAGCAGCGCAACTGCACGTGCTATACTGACGTCAACCTCAGCCAACCAAAGTGCCGCAGTGCGCAGTGCCCGGTCGCTAAAAATCGTACCATGACGGTTAAGCAGTAGGGCAGTGAAAGCGATCATAACGCGTCGGCGTGCTTGCTCTGCCTCCTCTTGGCCGAGGTAAATGCGAAGCGCCTTCCTTTTATCTATGTATTCCAAAGTCCGTTCGGAGAGGAAACACTGGACTGGTTGTCGGCCTGGCATCGAGCTCATGCCGCGGCATGTAGCCGTCCACTGCTGCGCAAAGTGTTGATACTGGTCATCGATAGGAGTGTCCCAGGTGGCGCAGCTGAGGAGGGCTAGCCGTTGCGCTTGTTCTCTTGTCTCGTCCGGCGTGCTCACAGCTGGAGGGCGCACCGCCCTTCTGGAGGAGGTCCGGAAAGCCCCTGAATGCACATGTTGGCAGTACTCAGCGCGAAGGTAAACGGGGCGGTGGTCCTCGCGGAGCTGGAGGCTCTCAAAGCCCACTAGTACCTTAGCCTCGAGCTCAAAGGACCTCCACGAAGTCGGCAGGCCGATGTAATCGAGTCTGTGCGCAATATCAGGCCCGGATAGCCAAGTCTCGCCTGGTCCCACCTGGAGACCCTCAATAGTGGAGGGGAGGAACATGTCCGAACTGGAGAGGAACTCGTGGAAAACCGCCCCTGCTGGATTTTCGGGCTCAGCATTGCACGGTCCAACAGCGTCCGAGACCACACTTCCTACCCTGGCATTTGCATCGAGTAGGAGAAGTGCCTCCATGCCTTGCGGCCGATGATGCAAATCATGCGCCCGCTCTCTCCAAAAGGCTTCGACTGCAGCTATAGGAGCGTTGGCCGCCGAGGGCCCATGTGCAACCATGACAAAAAGCCGCAGGAAGGGGGCGACAAATGTGACATTGAGGTGCCTGTGCGAGAAGCCAACGGTGGAGGCATGCTCTCGACGCAGAAAATATTTGGTTCCGGATTTGACCGCGTAGGGGACATTCTTGTTCACCCACAAGGCGCATCCCCCGGTGCCAGACGGGGTGGACCCTGCATGGTACATGTCGTAAACCTTGTCAGGCATCGTGGCTGTCTCACCTATCCGTGTTTCCTGGAGCCCTACGAACAATGGGCAGTAGTCTGCTAGACTACGCTGTAGAACAGCACGCCTGCCCAATAGGCACAAGCCTGTCGGGTCCACACCGCTATCGGTGCCCGGCTTGCGCGCCGGCTTGTCTCGCAGGGTAAGTATATTATAAGAAACACAGGACCACTTATAATGGACAGCGCCGGAACTATATGCCTGACTCGTTTCCCCAGCGAGTGGTGCATGTGTCGGCAACTCTGGGCACTGTTGAAGCCGCCTTGCCTCGGATTCAAAGGCATAGACGGTGGGGAGGTCACATTGAGGAAAGGAGGCCAACCACGCCCAGTCTCTGAGCTCATGATTGATGAGGCGGTGGGGCCAAGTCGGCAGGCATCTCTGGTAGTAACCTTCCTCATGTGTCCTCGCCAACCCCGCCAGGCGATCGGTCAGTTCGTTGGCAAAATGCCCCGAGTGGCCTTTAACATGAAAGTGGTGCGCCCGGCACCGGGCCGTCACAAGCTGTCTCAGATAGGATACTGAAGCGGGCAGTGAAGGGCCTTGCGGCGGCAAGGGGTATTTGACCTCCCTGGATTCCCCAAAGGCACCCGTACCGACGCTGATGGCGTCATAGTAGTATGCCAAAGGTGCCTGATACGTTGGGCCAAACTCTGCAGACCACGACAGCGCCCAAAAGAGCGCAAGCAGTTCTGCTGTCACAGCAGTGTCATCAACCTCTCCCGCATAAAAGGGGGTCTGTGCTGGCACTGCCGTGGAGCTAGCATAACCATAGAAATACACAAGGACCCCAACCTTAAACCACACGGTGAAGGCCCAAGAGCAAGGCGACGGAGCACGAGCATCCT